CCTGTCACGGCAGAGAGCCGTGACAGGATCGAGAGGTGAGCGAACCCGGTATGTGTTCGCTCACCTCCCGATCTACTGAGCCGACCTGTGACAGTCCCATTGTCACAGGTCGGCTAGAACTATGAGGTGAGTGAAAAGCACTCACCTCATAGTTCTCCTTTAATTGTTAATAGGTTCCTTTAAAAACAGCCTTGCGTTTCGGGGGCAAAACCATTTCCCCTTCATCGGGGCTCAGCACAGGATAAACTTGGATGAACTCAGAGACAATAGTGACCACACAGACCTATATTAAACTCTTGTCTTCAATAGAGCCGGTAATGGTGGTCAGCCCTCCATGTAGAGGCACACCTTCTTCCCGGCTCTATAGTGGGTTAGCAGACAATTGGGTCTGTAGGTGTACGGGCACTATAAGTAATCTCCCGTCATCCCCTTCTCTTTGATGCAGGCACCCCCACTGTCTGAAGACTGAGCCGCTGTACAGCAGATGATGGCAAATTAATAATAACATAGATTGAGCTGCGTGTTAAATCATTTTAGCATGTTTTCAATGAATATTTAACAGGACTAAACTGGGAGGAAATTTGCAGCAGCTCCTCTGATGTTCATTCAGTTATTTAAAATACTGGTTTGATCCGTCGATATGCGCGCCGCAGGGGGGACTACCAATGGGGGGTACTTCTGCCGCGCTCTGTAAATTCATCATTACAGTTTGCAGAGTAAACAAATAATAAATCTTACATAAAGCTGATAATACTGAAGGCTTCATATACACAACATAGCTTGGTGGATGCCATTCGCGCCACGGTAGAGCGCCCATATGGCGCTGACGAATAATTTCCTATACTCATCAGCGCCATCTAGGGGAGGTACTGCAGTGCAAATGGCACAGCCGGGTGAGGGTTTTATACATGAAGCCTTAAGTATTTTTACTTAATTAAAACCACAAGGAATGAAAAAACACACATGGTTGTAAGTTTCTGGTGATAAATTTACCCACATCGAGGGGTATTTAAAGCCCAACTTTGGGAAGCTAAAAAATTATAAATGTTGTCCCCCGTCACCCCCAGGCAGAGGCAAAATGTAATGCTGGTTTTGGCAAATGTATAATATCAGACTGAGGCTCGAAGTCTCTCTGTGTTACAGGCTCTGATTGGTCATGTAGTAGCCTCTACCTGAAGTTATCACACGCAAATCAGGACCAGTGACCACTGCTGTTCCTGCATTGCCTAAGGTGATGTTGGAATGCCGTCCACATTCTGGGGAGGGCCCTCTGGAGCTCTGGGGCGGGTGAAAAGAGGACCCTCTGGAGTTCTTGGGTGGGTGAGAAAAGGACCCTTCAGAGCTGTGGGGCGGATAAGAAGAGGACCCTTTGGAGCAATGGGGCAGGTGAAAAGAGAATCCTCTGGAGATCTGGGGTGCGCAAGAAGAGGACCCTCTGGAGCTCTGGGGCAGGTGAGAAGAGGACCCTCTGGAGCTCTGGGGCAGGGAGAAGAGGACCCTCTGGAGCTCTGGGGTGGGCAAGAAGAGGACCCTCTGAAGCTCTGGGGTGGGCAAGAAGAGGACCCTCTGGAGCTCTGGGGTGGGCAAGAAGAGGACCCTCTGAAGCTCTGGGGTGGGTGAGAAGAGGACCCTCTGGGGCAGGGAGAAGAGGACCCGCTGGAGCTCTGGGGCAGGGAGAAGAGGACTCTCCAGAGATCTGGGGTGGGTGAGAAGAGGACTCTCCAGAGCTCTGGGGTGGGTGAGAAGAGGACTCTCCAGAGCTCTGGGCTGGGCAAGAAGAGGACACTCTAGAGCTTTGGAGTGGGCAAGAAGAGGACCCTCTAAAAGCTCTGGGGAGGGTGAGAAGAGGAGACCATCCAAAGCTCTGGGGAGGGTGAGAAGAGGACCCTCCGAAGCTCTGGCGTGGGTGACGGGCTGCTGCAGGGATGTAGAGCAGGGGTGGACAACTCCGGCCCTAACTATCATGTCTGTAACTGTCAGTCTTGCAAAGCCTCATGGGAATTGTAGATCCACAACATCTGGAGAGCCGAATTTGCTCACCCCTGCTGTAGAAGAAAGTATGTTTTACTCATCTATTCACATGATCTTTACTGAAGGGGAGGAGCAAAACTCATACAGGTTGCTCTTTCCCTTCAGGAGTGCCTTGGCATTCAGTCACCTGACTGGTTAGTTTTGGGTTCACATTCTAATTTTGACAATAGGTCCTTTGTACTAAAATTAAGAAGCATCGCAGAAAAAGTTCTTATTGATGAGTTTAAGGTGCTTATATTTTACCTTCCTGGCTCCGCCTCTCTTCATCAACATGCTAATGGAATGTTTAATTAAAACCTGTTTTCATGACATGCCTTATTTTAGACCCAGAAATGTCATCACTGGGTCTCTTTGCTTCTCTGTTCAATGCAGGCAGATCATGGCTAGTGGGAGGGGCCTCAGTACTCCTCCCAAGAGCCCTCAGCCCTGATGCAAGCAGTAGGTTGGCTCTTGGGAGGAGATATGCAAATACCAAAATGCTTTGATGGGTGGATGTCAGTCTGGAGGAGGGAGTGTCCCTAGGCAATCTGTATTTGCATGCAGACCACCCTTGGTAACACCCACATGTGGTGGTGATTCCTCCATGAACTGAAATCCAAGGAATGAAAGGGGCGGGCCAGGGACACTCAGGCTGGAGAGGAATGATCTAGACGATGTTGGATGTCCTCCAGCCAGGAAATGAGGCCGGCTCTATCTGATTTGTTGCAGCGTCTAATGCTTATTGTGAGAAGCTCACAGTATGCAGTGAAATCAGAGGAAGGCGATCCAGTCCAGGAGAGGAGCCGGTACAACTGTGCAAGACTGAAAGGAAGTGCGGAGTTCAGCTTTAATTATTATAAGGGATGGAGGGGAAGGAATTTAACAATTTTAATTGTCCAGGCATAAACTATCTGTATACTCTGATTGTGTCTTATAGCCCGGGTGTTTAAATGTGATGGAATACGGTCCAGAAAAGGGAGACTGCTACACGGGAAGAATGCAGCTTGTAAGTTTCTTTACTTATTGTGTTATGAAGTCTTACGTCACAGGCCAAGTCGTCTCCTGGCCCACACACCAAAACTCACTTGTAGATATGGTTCAAATGAGTAAAAATACATATTCAGGCATCATCCAGGGTCAGCAATACTTCCTGCACTGAGATGCTGCTCAGAGATGACGCAATCATGTGGCTCGTACTTGCTGGTGTTCATCTGACACAGATAAGCCCCTGCTGCAGCCTCTCCTTTTGTAATTTGCTTCAAAGTTACAATGTGGCAGTCTGATCACTGGGGGAGAACCCGACACCCCTCACCTTGGTTCCCGGGCTCCGCTCTGCCCATTCTGCGGGCCCGGGTCCGCATTGCAGGTGTCAGCGGGTAGTAAGAAGAGAGACTACACTACACTACATCCAGTGCCTATTGTCCCATTGTCTGATTTTGGAGTTTTATGAGTTTCATGGACTGAGACAATTGATCTACACCACCCACCACACGGTTATCGTTTATATCAGTGGTTCTCAACCCGTGTAACCTCGGGACCCACATGTTTCCTTGGTCATTAAGGCGTGACCCAAAAATGATTTCATTTCTGAAACATTTAAATTTAGTAAATTTATTACACAAAACAACTTGTGCAGTATTCAGCAACATTAGGGGGGTACATGTGTGCACATTGGGTAAATTATGGTTATACATTTTCTTGAAATATATTGATTTTTTTATACTTTATGCCAGTTTTGTTTGAAGAACATCTATGAGATCGTATGGTTTCTCAGCTGATCTCTGATGTGTGAACCTGTTGTTTCTTCCATATTCTTTTAGAACACAGATATAACAGCTGACAAGCCAGGAAGTGTTTACTATTGTATAATTCAGTTTATATTTTGATATGTTTTGTTGATCCATCCAGCCTCTACCTTGGGTTCCCCCATTTTTTACATAGTTAGGAGAGAGACCAGCAAACATCTGTTGCACCACTTCCAGTTTCTCAGCTGTCATTCCCCGGCTAAAGAAGCCGGGGAAGAAGCTATTCAAGCCCGACCTGTGCTTGATCAGCTTCTTTGAAGTGCAAAGGTGACATTAGGGGTCCAATAGACCTCTAATGTCACCTGAAAGAGTACCTGTCACCTCCAATGTGCTATCACATAGGGGGCTTGTGAACGTGTGTGATAGCAATTAAATGAAGTAAAAAAGGAAAAACAATAAAAATACCCTCCAAAAATGGTTAAAGTCCCCCGTCCCCGCGATCTTGCACATACTGCGCCTTTGTGCGAAAACAACGATTGCACCACACATGTTAGGTATCACCACATGTGCCAGACTGAGAGCAATAATTCACAGTTATGTCTAAACTGATGACCTGTACAGGCTTTTAAAGCGTGGCCTATAGATAATTTTGGGTACCGTATTTTTTTTGCCGATTCATGAGCACACACAATTTTTGGTATGTTGGGTATTGGTACTCGGCATGGCCTCATTTTTTAAATTTTTTATTGGGTATTATTAGTGTTTTTGTGCACTAAAATTAACTTAAGTGTGGTTTTTTACCGAAATTTTGGCTTTGATAAAGAGTTTCACTCATTCTATGCAATTTGAAAATTAGTAACTGCCCCCATTGTATTGAACAGAGTCTCTGCTTTCAGGAAATATAATGTTTTGGGAAGGTTTGTGTGTGTGTGTGAGGGTGTTAAGTAATTTTCAGCCCTAAAATGTGGATCATGACTGCAAACACCTTTCTGACAGCGAAAGGGTTAAATGATGGCCTGGCGGTAAAAAGGAACATTTATGAAAGGGTATTGCTTGCTGTTTTTGAAAGTAATGGAAATATATATTTTTTTAATTTAGGGAAAGAATGCAGATTACTACAAAAGAGAGGTGAGTGCGGCTCTCATGGTTTAATAATAACGTAGTTCTGGGTGATTTTACAGAGCTTTATTTTTCTTCTTTAATCCTCTATAAAGGAATAGGTGGAAGAAAAGGCTGAGACAGTTATAAATGGATGTTTAGAGCGAGGTTGGAGAGTATGATGGGAAACAGAACTGCAAAGTAAATAAGTGTCCATTGGAAGTTTTAAAGAATGTGCATGGGGAACATATGTTTAAAAAAGAGCTGACTTTGAGAAATTTGCAGAGAATGATAAGAGATTTAAAGGAGAGGAAACGATGACAGAGGTTTAAAGGAGAGGGTGATGACAGAGGTCTGGGGGGCTGTGATGATGGGGGTTTTGATTGAACTTTTAAATCAAAGAGCGGATGATGTGGATTATGACAGAGGAGAAGATGGAAATTCTGTCAATGATCAAAGTGGAGAGTTTTACGTTGGATGATAAAAAGGTTTGGAAAAGAGATTTAGGATAACACGGATGGATAGGAGAGGTGAGGAGAAAGGTTTGGATAAGAGGTTTATCATGGATGATAACAGGGATGTGGAGGAAAGGGATTGATGAACATTCTGAGAACAGAGTATCATTATAGAGTTTATAAACTGGGAAGATAACAAAGGTTTAGAGGGTAGATGATAAAGACACACTGAGCATAGAGAGACTCATGATGGATGGGTTAGGGTGAAGAGAGGATGATGGTGGTCTGAGGAAAGGGTATGAAGACATGTTTGGAGGACAGAAGGGAATGAGATGATGACTGGGTTAAGGAGAAGAGAGGATGATGGTGGGTCTAAGGAAAGGGTATGAAGACATGTTTGGGGAACACAGAAGGGAATACGATGATGGTGACTGGGTTAAGGAGAAGAGAGCATGATGGTGGGCCTGATGAAAGGGTATGAAGACATATTTGGAGGACAGAAGGGAATGAGGGATGATGTCAAGTATTCAGAGGAGAGAAGGAAGTAGCATCTGAGGTGATGGCAATATAGTAGCAGTTCTGAGAGTAAAGCTGCTAAAAGGTCTGAGGCAAGAGAATATTGACGGGTGTAAAGAGATTGATGGATGATGACAGGGTTATGGAGGAGAGATGACTATGGAAGGCCTGAGAATGGAAGATTAAGGTACATCTGGTCAAGAGAAGGGATAACAAGGATTTGAAGGAAGGAAGAGATAGCATCCAGACCTCGTCAACTCTTTTCTACCTTCAAGTCTCTACTATGTCCTCCACTACCACCACCCACTAACTCACTCACTGCCCAGGACATTGCCATTCATTTCCAAAACAAAATAGATACAAATCGAGATCAGATCGCCACTGTCCAATCAACTGCCCCTTTTATTATAGTACCTGATCCTCCATCACACTTGTTACTTTCCTATGTAACATCTCAAAAATACACCCCTTCCTCACCAATGAAACTGCAAAATTACTCATCCACTCCCTTGTTATCTCTCCTCTTGACTATTGTAACTCCCTACTCATTGGCCTTCCGCTACACAGGCTATCCCCTCTTCAGTCTATCATGAATGCAGCTGCCAGACTCATTCACCTTACCAACCGCTCAGTGTCTGCATCCCCCCTCTGCCAATCCCTACACTGGCTTCCACTCGCCCAGAGGATAAAATTCAAAATATTAACAGTCACTTATAAAGCCATCTACAACTCCGCCCCCGGATATATCTCAGACCTTGTCTCAAAGTATCACCCTAACCGTCCCCTCCACTCGACCTTGACTGCCTTTAGGCGTTCCCTAAAGACTCATCTCTTCAAGGAAGCCTATCCCACCTCGACCTAACCACTGAACCTTCACATTCTCAAATAATTCATCCCCACACAGCTCCCTTCTCTTGTATCATTTCCCCCTCTTTCAGATTGTAAGCCCACAGGGGCAGGGCCCTCCTTACCATCTTGTCTTGAATTGTAATGTCTTCCTTATATTGTAAAGCGCTGCACAAACTGTTGGCGCTATATAAATACTATGTAATAATAATAATAATAGCATCTGACAAAAGAAAGACTATACTAGAGGTTCTGAGTACAGAAGATAATTAAGGGTCAGAGGAGAGAGTATAATGACAGACTGAGAGGCGATAGTGATGATGGATGCTTAAGAAGTTATGGAGGAGGATGGATAATGAAGGGCTGATGAGAAAGGATGAAGACCCTTTTAGTGAAGAGAACAGATGACAGATGATGACAAGTATTTGGAGGAGAAGAGGAGGTAGGGTCTGAGGAGATAGGATTATGATAGACGTTCTGAGGGAAGAACTTGTTGAAGATTTACTGGCAATTGAATGAGGATGACAGGAGTAAGAGAGAGGTTGAAGACAGATGATGGCATTGGTCTCAAATAGAAAGGATAATGAAGATTTAGAGGAGAGAAAGTGATATAGGCTTCGAGGAGAAAGAACAAACACAGGTCCAGAAAGAGAGGATAATGGATAATGATGAGGGTTGGATGGAGAGAAGATTATGTGGGTGCGGAGATTAGAATATGACTGATGAGCAGAGAAAAATTAGGAGTTTTGGAGGGTATGTGCCTCCAGTGAAATGTAATATATTTGAATTATGATGCCCACATTCCTAGTATTATCAATATATAAATGATCAGAATACAAGTATGCTTTTTTATCTGATTTGTTTTTTGTTTTTTTTTTACAATAGATGGAGTATTTGAGAAAGGCCATGGCACGAACAAGGGTAAAATCATCCATCTGTCTTGAAGGGTGAGCCATTGTACCAGGAAAAGTCCTCTGGTTTGTTACTGATACTTTAAAGAAATATCGACAAAAGATACATAAAATATAACCATATCTGTGACTGTTCCAACGCAAAAATGGGAGGGCAAAATATTCCTTTGGGACCTTTTACAAACTTGAGAAATAATGTAGCCCACAACTTGGACTGAGGAAGGCTGTGCCCCAAGTGTTCCTTATATTATTGCTTGTAAATCTGTAAACATTAACCCTTCCTGTAACTCTAACACTAGCCCTCCGTGTAACCCTAACGTAAGTAAACTTAAATCCTTTGGATACTCACCTCTCCTGTATCATGTTCCTGTTTCCTGAAGACCAACCCAACCTTCACCAAAATCTTCTACTTCAGAAGATCCTTGTTCCCCATTTTGGTATGAATTCTCCACAGCAATATATAGAATGGTGGTGTGACTTACCTGCTGCCAGTGGAAGGACCTTCCTGGTGGCGACCAGACCCTGAAGCACTCTCTAGAAAGCTAAAAAAAATGTTGGAGTTCCATTTTAATACCCAACCCTTCCTCGTGCCACTTGTTTCACTCATTGTTTTGTTAAAGGTTTTTTTTGTTCTTTTTAGCTTCATCAAATTCAGTGAACAGTACCTACCACATGACCCCATCATGTCTGGCTGTCTTCCTAGTAACCCGTGGATTACTGACGACGTCACATACTGGACATTAAATGCACCTATGTAAGTACGGGCCCAGAATACATCCATTTCTTAAATGCTGTACATAATAAGTATTTGTTTCCCTGGTTTGGTTGCTCACCATGAGAACTGAGATGACTAATTTAAGTCCACTTTGTGTAATTACACTGCATGTGGAAGCAATTACTGATCAATTGCTTTTATTTCCTTTAACTTTAACCTAAGAACTTGCCCCATTTATGCTTAACAGGCTTTAAGTGAACCTGTCACCAAATCTTGGATGCATAAGCAGTTATCTGAAATTCAGTGTATGCTTTATACTTATTTCAAATTGAATCAAAGGAAATATCTTGATGTAAAAAGAACTAAGTAGTGGAGTAAACTTGACCCGGAACCCCTTCAAAAACAGCTGTCAGTTGCAGTTTCCATATTTGTATCCTAATCACGGCTGCAATGCTGTCATAGCACATGTAAGTCAGTGCCTAGGGTGGCAGGGTTTGAAGGGGCAGCACCCCTTCTAGACAACTTTGGACATTTGTGGCTACATATATTATTATTTATTACAGGTTCAGTGGTACCTCAGTTCACGAACGCCTCTGTTCACAAACAATTCGATTTGCGACCAGGAAGTTCGTCAAAATTTTGCCTCCGCTCGCGAACTCTGCCTCGGGTTACGAACACGACCGCGGCCATCTTCCACGCTCTGACACATTCACTTACAGTGAAGCTTTTTTGTGTGCTTTGTAGCACAGTACTGTACAGTATTACTGTATTCAATTAAGCATGGCTCCCAAGAAAGTGCAGAGCAAACATGGTGGGAATAAGAAAGCGCAGAGCATTATTGAAGGTGACAAGAATGTGCAGAGCAATAATGGTGGTAAAAAGAAACTTGTGGTTAAGGTTTTTCGTTTTTTTTTTTTTGTTTCATATGGTTCAGAACGGATTAACCTGATTTACATTGAACCCTATGGGAAAATGTGATTCGGTTCACAACCAATTCGGTTCGCGACCAGAATCGTGGAACAAATTAAGTTTGTGAACCGAGGTGCCACTGTATACATACACTGCCAACAATTTATGCAGAGCTTTGCAAACTCTACATTCACATCAGTCCCTGCCCTCAAGGAGCTTACAATCTAAGGTCACTAGCACACATGCATGCATACATACTTGCACACTAGATCCAATTTTTAGACAGGAGCTAATTAACCTAACAGCATGTCTTTTGAGTGTGGGAGGAAACTGGAGCTCCCAGAGGAAACCCACACAAGCACAGGGAGAACATGCAAACCCCATGTACATAGTTTCCTGACCGGGATTCAAATCAAGGACTCAAGTGCTAACCACTAATCCACTGTGCAATATTACAGTAGAGGGAAGGGGATGCAGGGTGTGTTCAGGGGAATTAGAAGACTCTTTATTGTTCAGGGAAAACATGAAACCATTTCTTAAGTAGAGGGAAGAGGATGTAGGAGGTGTTTAGGGTTATTTAGATGATTCTTTATTGTTCAGGGAAAACATAAAACTCTCTTCTGTCTGTTTGGTTATTTGTGGCGTTAAAAGCAGCCCAGAATACAAAGCAATTGAAGAATCTATTTTTAGAAAAACAATCAGGGCACAGCTTTAGACTAGGGCTTTATCATTCATGTATCAAAATAAGATCCTGATCATAGTATCAAAATAATACCCTGATCATAGTATCTGAGCATAGTATCAAAATAAGATCCTGAGCATAGTATCAAAATAATACCCTGATCTTAGTATCTGAGCATTGTATCAAAATAAGATCCCGAGTATAGTATCTGAGCATTATATGAAAATAAAATCCTGATCATAGTATCTGAGCATAGTATCAAAATAAGATCCTGATCATAGTATCTGAGCATTATATGAAAATAAGATCCTGATCATAGTATCTGAGCATAGCATCAAAATAATACCCTGATCATAGTATCTGAGCATAGTATCAGAAATAAGACTCTGATCTTCATAGACTTCATCTAAGCAGCAAAAGATGGTGGTTGGAAGAGATAAAAAAGGGAAAAAGTAGTGTCACGTAGTGTCATCAGCAAATTGCTTAGCTTTTATCCTAAGGCGTAGGTGCACTTTAACAAATACCACCAACAATCTTCCCTCCCATGCACTCTTCAATAATAAGCCTTAAAATACTTAATGTCTCTGATCTTCAGAAATCTTGTCTTGCAACCTATCCTGGGCTGGCAAATGTTGTACATCCAAGCTAAATTGTGAACACGCAGTCTATGAGAATAATGATAGTCTCCCACTTTGTACACAGTCCTCTCAATGTAGCTGAGGTATGGTGTCCTATCAGATCAATTGTTGCAGTGGCTCAGGGTGGGGTTGTTTTTTTTTGTTTTTTTTTTAAGTGAGCCTGTGCCCAGACGATGCATACAAAGGCAGTAAAAGCATCCAATGCTAAACATACTACAAAGCTCTGTGCCTAGCACAAAACACATCAGAATAGAATATGTTTCAATAAAATAAGAATATTACTTTAAAGCTTGGTGTGCGGTGTTCCTGTTTCTGGTACAGCAGTAAGAACACTTGAAAAGAAGCCATCAATGACCTCTGTAGCTGCAGGCATTGTGGAGAAATTCATCATCAAAGATCAGGACATGGAGAGCAGATCTAGGCAGACTTCCAGCCTTCTAATGTAAACACAGCAGGTGTTTCTAACCGATTGGAAAGCCAATGAAATGGACTTCATAGTCTTTGAGGGTCTTTAAGAATGAATTAGTTCACATTATAAGCAGCTAGGTCAATAAAGGCTTGTTTGAAAGCTCTTTTCTTGCTTGAGAAAGAATACAGTATGTTTACATAAATAATGAAATACTTTAATGTCTATAGTCTGGGCCCATGTGCACCTTAAGTTTAAGTGGACTGGTCCTTTAGGCTATGTTCCACTTGTGATACTGTTTCTGGCAACAACTCACCTGCAGTAAGATCAATATTCAGGACATCGCAGGGCAAAAGAAGTCCTCACCCATTTGCTCAGGTCGCTCCCTCTCTGGCTGAATTAGCAACGCATCACTCTCTCATTGGCTAATTACATACAGCAGCCTTCAGTAAGGGAGCGACGCTTGCATCATCTCACCGCCCAGCTCTGACTTCCACTCTGGCCAACGTTCCGCCCAGTTCACTGAATTAACTGGTTGCCAGGAGCTTGGTGGGACACTGGCCAGAGCATCCCAGGTTGGTAAGAGCAGGTTGGAGAGATATGTATGGCCCTTACACATCTCTCTGCCTGACTTAGCAACCTGGGATGCTCTGGCCAGAAGGGGGGCGGCAGGTACACTGCAAACATTGCACAGCAGAACGACCATGCCAATCCTCACGTGACCCAAAGAGCCACTCGAGGCAACAGCCTCAGGCTGATGGAGAAGGCTTGTTGCACTCCTTACCAGAAATCCCCGAAGTCAGAGAAGTGTGCTTGGAATTAGTGATGGGCAGAACACACCCGTGTTCGGTTCGTATTCGAACACCCGAACGGCCGAAAAGTTCGAATAGGAACTCAAACCTAATGCAAGTCCATGGGGTTCGACCTTTCGAAAATGATTGTCCCCTTTAAGAATGCTTATATGCAAGTTATTGGCCATAAAAGGTGTATGGGGGTCCGGGTACTGCTCTGGGGGACAAGGAATCATTGAAAAAAACAAACAAACAAAAATACAGTTTTTAAAGGAGCAGTGATTTTAACATCACTTAAAGGGTAAGAATAAAAATGAGAAATGCCTTCAAATATCATGCCTTGGTGGTCCCCTTAACTTGCCTGTAAAGTGACAGATCTGTAGGATGTATAGAACCTGCTGCAGCAAAACTGACATTTCTAAAAAAAAAAAAAAAAAGATTTTTTTTTAATTTTTTACTCTTAAAGTGTGCAATTCCCCCTCCCAAACAATACCAGACCCTGTAGGTCTGGTAGGAATGTTAGGAGGGACCATTTATTTTTTAAGCGTAGGGTTCCCACTAAAAGTCATACCGGGCCCTTAAGGTCTGATCTTAAGGTCTCAATCATGGCGTCCAGCGTTGTCCACGACGACGACGAAATAAAGAATAAAACAGTAAAAAATAAATAGAAATAATAATAAAATTTAAAAAAAGCCGGCCGCCGTCCCGTCCGACTCCCGCCGCATAATGGCAAAACATAAACAATTGGGCGGAGCTAGCGGTGGCAGCTAGCTCCGCCCAATTGTGTAGTTTGCCGGCATCTGACTTTGCCCATCATGACTTTGCCCAATCATGGCTCCAAATGAGTACTGAGCCCTGATTCGGCAAAGTCTTGCACCTGACCTGTGGTAGGTGCAAGTCTTTAACCAATTAGAGCTTCGGAGGGCTCTTTGCAGTATGGGACTTTGCGTGGTCAAACAGACCGCGAACATCACATAAACTTCGGCGTTCGTCGAACGGCCGATGTTCGAATCGAACCGACGGACCATCCCTACTTGGAATGACTGCGGATGGCGCCGCTAGTTGCAAATTGTATGACAAATGTCACCAGCACGCCAAAATCCTTAAAGGATCATCAATTGTAGATTTATTAAGAACTCATGTCAAATACACAAGCGCTTTCGGGGCCACGCAGGGTCCCTTCATCAGGCGTAGCAATGAAAACAAAAATGAATGGTGTATGGCCAGATTTAAGCCAGGTCTATATAGAAGTATAATAAGATACTTTGTAGTCCTGATATGTCTCTCCAATCGCCAGGGTACCAATGCCTACGAAGCTGCGGCTGGACCGATGGACCTTCAATTTCATGGAGATGCTCAATGACCCGCGGGGCCGCAAGGAATTTTTACAGTTCTTGGAGAAGGAGTTTAGCGGTAAGCGTTTTATTTCTTCTTCCGAATCTCGGATATATTGTATCTCCACCAGCTCTTGTATGGTAAGACTTGGGTTCATTACTTCCCCCTTAAAAGCTTGATCTTGCATCTTGTATAAATAAAATACATTATTAACATTCAGTGTCAGAGGACACGAGGCGGCAACTTAGAAGATACAGACAAAAAAAAAGTAAACTTGGCTGTTCCGTTCCAAACTTGAAAAGACAAATTCAGAATAATCCTGGCATACTCGGGGAACTTAATTGTTTTCCCAAAACATCTCTTTTGTAAATAATGATAATTTAGATGACATAATGTACCCCTAAAGTAAATGATGAGATCCTGAAAGAGTGTTGTTCGGTCAACCCGTATTTTAGTTATGGATGTGTTAACAGTAAACCAAATCTCTCAGATGTACAGTATACCTCCCAGAGACTCCAGACTTAAAGCTGAACTCCGGGATAATAAATTATTGTGCTCATACAAGAGTCATGTGTATTCTTCTTGAGTTTTGTCTATTTCTTCCAGATCTGTGCAGAGACTTGGAGCCTCCTGTAATACAGACCGCTCACTGCTGCCCTCTCTCCTTGTGTAGGGTGACTGGTCTTGTCTCCGCCCCCTCCTGTAATAAAGACCGCTCACTGCCGCTCTCTACTTGTGCAGGGTAGCCGTCTCCATGCTCCCTCGTCACCAGGTGGCCAATCAGGAAGCCAGGCAACGCGTCATTACATGGCGCCCGTCTTCCTGATTGGCCGGGAAGCCGGCTCCAAGCTCCCTCTTCACCAGGTGACGAGGGAGCATGGAGACGGCTTCCCGGCCAATCAGGAAGACGGGCGCCATGTAATGACGCGTTGCCTGGCTTCCTGATTGGCCACCTGGTGACGAGGGAGCATGGAGACGGCTTCCCGGCCAATCAGGAAGCCGGGGAGCGTATAAGGACTCGCTGCCCGGCTTCCTGATACTGGAAGCTCAAGTATTGGGCTAGGCATACGAGTACTCACAAATACACTTCACAGCCATTGACTTTGACACCCCATTATAAATATTCCCTCTATTGGTAAAGAAGTATATTATATATTTTTCTCATTATCTTATGTGTATTTCCCACTTTTCCAGCTGAAAATCTCCTCTTTTGGGAGGCTTGTGAAGATTTACGGTACGGAGAGCAGTCAAAAAACATATCCACTGTGCAGTCCGTATATGAGTAAGTAGTCTGATCCTCTTTGTATTGCTGCAACTTTTTAATACTTGGAGACTTTAGATCAGGGGTGGGCAAACTTCGGCACTCCAGCTGTGGTGAAACTACAAATCCCATGAGGCATTGCAAGATTCTCACAGCCACAGGCATGACCCCCCAAGATGGATGCATTATGGGATTTGTAATTTCACCGCAGCTGGAGAGCCGGAGTTTGCTCACTCCTGCATTAGATGGACTAGATCTGTTTTTTGCCATTGGCAGTCATCTGGCCCACTCTCTGGCTGTCCATTGGAAGATAATAAGTCATTGCCCATTCCCAGAGGAATTTCTGAAAAACTAATAGTTGCACATGGACCATCTGGATAATTTTTTATTTTTTTTTGGATTTGATTGAAATTTTTAAACACATTTGAAAGTAATAAACAGAATATGATGTATTAAAAATAAAATGTGTATAATGCAGACATAAAAGAGCAATCGACGTGTAAAGATAACCCCCAAGCAACATGAATAGGAAAGGTTAGCACCCAACAACTACCACCACCAGGTGGCTATCAGTAGCACCCCAATGAAAGGGATTGGGGCCCCGGAAACGTGTCAGCCATTTCATGCATATGCTGTTGTAAACCTTTTCTTGAAATCTGGTGGTAATCAATGGCAGTTGCATATTCAGGGTATGCCATATATGGCACATGGCCTGGGCACCACTTGAAGGGGACGGTTGCCGCTCTGTGGGTCAGTGAACATTTGCCGACCGAAGGAGACAGCTGACTTTTTTTCCTCTCCAATACACATCTCCCTGTCTGGCTCTTAGCAACCAGGGATGCTCTGCCCAGTGTCCCGTCCAGCTCCCGGCAACCATTGACGTCTCTGGTTGCCAGGAGCTGGGCGGGACATTAATCTGAGCGTCCCAGGTTGCTAAGAGTCGGGCAGGAAGATGAGTAAGGGCCATACCCACCCAGCTCTTAGCAACCAAAATGGGCAGGGAGATGTGTATGCGGGTGTGACACTGGGGAGAGCATGCCTGGTTGCTAAAATGGGGCAAGGAGACATGTATGGCCCTTACGCCAGTGACGCCAATGTTTGCCAGGAGCTAGGCAGGATGCCAGGGGCACAATTTGTTGTAGATACCCTTCTGGTCATTGGACATTAACCCTTCCTATTCACGTTTCCTGGAGGTTATCTTTACACGATGATTGATCTTTTGTTCACGTATAATCCCAAAGCTGTGGGATAATAACTGCCGTGATATTTGGGGGTAATGCCTTACAATGGTGCCCATGTGGTTGTCCTTTTGTTTATTTTGGCCCCAATTACAATAAATCCTACAAGCACATTAGTTATTAGACTGGCAGGTCACCAATGAAACTCTGCAAGTGTAAACCTTGGATCTCCCGAAGTAACCCTGACACCTAATTATCCCTCTGTTGCTGAAATAAAATATATGTACAAAATAATGTAGACCCTGCAAAGAAGACATGGAGTAGTAGACCTCTCCTGCTGCCCATTCTGCCAATCTCTGCAGTATGGAAAACTTCCAGCTCAAGATCCGGCAGAATCTGATACTTCTCAAAGTGACTGATTACTGTTTCCCCACTGCACCCTGTTTTTCTTCCCAATAGCCCCATTGTCACTACAGGACACCCAATTGACGTGGGGGGCATTGGATCAAACCACTAAGCGTAGTGGAGGACCAGCAATAGGACACTCCTGAAAGTGTGGGATCCTTAGTCAGGGCGTTTTTCCATTGTAACTGCAAGGATCAGCTGCGTGGGCAGCAGGACAGGGGTTCGAGGTCTTCTTTGCAATATCTTAACCCCCCTTTTCGCTGACACTTGAACGCCAGGCAAAAAGCAAGATACTCATTGGAAATACCTATATGGGAGCCGACTTATTTGCAAAGGGAGTTGCAATTCTGCCCAGCCACGTTGGTAATTCATACACCTTTGCTAGGAAGCATAGGCAGGAGGGTGCCGTCAATTTCTCTGTTAAAGTTAAGGAGTACAGTGGTCCCACCTCCCCATCCCTTTCCCAGTTTGCTGTAGAAGGGCAAGTAGAGGCTGCTATCGAGAAACCTTCATGTATATATCCTAACTGTACGCATAAATCATTTTGTCATTGTCACTGGAAAGCTGGAAATTCCAGAAAGTATTGCGTTCTCTGTCTGAACTCCCCTTTCCCTCACAGGCAGTTTCTGGCCCCAGGAGCAATACGCTGGGTAAACATTGACAGCAAGACAATGGAAAAGACACTAGAAGGTATAAAGAACCCACATCGGTACGTGCTTGATGATGCCCAAATGCATATCTACATGTTGATGAAAAAGGTGGGTCCTCTCAAGACGCCAGCGCTGCCACTTCATATAGCAACATCATTTCCAGCATTCTTTATTCTAGATTCTCAGTGATGTCACCGGTCTCTAGTGAATGGATAGGCTGTATTCTCAGTGATGTCACCGGTCTCTAGTGAATGGATAGGCTGCATTCTCAGTGATGTCACCGGTCTCTAGTGAATGGATAGGCTGCATTCTCAGTGATGTCCCCGGTCTCTAGTGAATGGATAGGCTGCATTCTCAGTGATGTCCCCGGTCTCTAGTGAATGGATAGGCGGTATTCTCAGTGATGTCACCGGTCTCTAGTGAATGGATAGGCTGCATTCTCAGTGATGCCATCGCTCTCTAGTGAATGGATAGGTTGCATTCCCAGTGATGTCATCACTCTCTAGTGAATGGATAGGCTACATTCCCAGTGATGTCATCGCTCTCTAGTGAATGGATAGGCTACATTCCCAGTGATGACACTGGTCAAAAACAGATCTGCATTCTTAGCTCTATTACTGTTAGGCAAATTTTTACTTTTTGTCAAAAGTCAGCAGCCCTCACCTGCACTGACTTTTGCAGAGAGCAGTGAAACTTGGATGTCACAGGGTGGGCACAGATGTCCCTGACGTTCTGGCTGTAATTGAAGTCCTGGCTTCACCTTGTCTTAATTATGCGGCAGGAAATAAAACAGAGCCCGATGGAAGAGTAACTGGGTCTCCGGAGAGAGGCTGGAGCTGAGTTGTAATCACAGATTATGCAGAGTTATTTATAGACTGAATTATTAATATTTCTGCAAACAATGGCAAAGAAAACAGCAGCTTTAATCACCCTCCTACATACGTCATACCTGTTCCATGGTTTATTGTATAAAGGCGGTGGATCATCTGTATGTCATCTGTATATTTAGCCACATAACTTGTATCATTTACACATCTCAGTAATGAAAGGAATGTACTGGCAATCCTGCTGGTACACTCTATTATATTGAGCCACTAGGGGGCAGTAAATGGCAAAGACAGACTTTAACAGGGTCCCCTTGGAGCAGGGGTCCTGTTGCAGATGTGTGTGCTGCAGCCCCCGGTTCTTAAACATCTGTTTATCAGTCACATAACGCGCTTATGTATCTGAGGAAAACGTACAAACATATTTTAACTTTCAATACCATAATTTCTGATTAGCTTTTGTGCAATCTAGTTTTTTTCCTGTTTAGCTACGCCTGAAAATCACAGATGGAAATGAAGTGCTGGATGTAGACAGGCGGCGCACCTGTTCCTCAATCTTGTATACACTTATAATTATTGTAATCGGCTTCATCATGCACTGATTGTGTGTTTCTGCAAAGCTTTCATTATTTCCTGTGTTGACGTTGACTTGATTACTTTTTTCAGGGAGAAATATTTTTTTATTGCTTGTCAAATGAGTGATCAAGATACAAACAGTATTTTTTTTTAAAGCAGTGGGGGAGTCAGAGGAAAGGAAAATGTTCCTGTTTCCTGTCTCAACCAATCAGATGCGTGGTTTAGATTTATAGGACATGTGCACATAGCAAATTTCAACCAGGCCACCCTTACTAACCCCCTAACCTGATCTAACTCCGACATCTCATATACAGGAGCTTCATTACCTCTGTTTGCCCTCCGTGGCCTTCTCTGGTTTTCATCAGCCTCTGACCTAAATCTTCTCTACCACTAGCTGCGTCTGAGCAGCCCGTCCCCATAGACCCTAATGGGGCTGTATTCTTAGCATCTGTAGTGTAAAGTTATGGCTTGATTCAAGTCTACGGGGTCTAACTGCAAAGGTGCAACCAGAGTATTTATGCAGGGAAGAAAATACTATTTGGGGAGCTGCATGAGGGCTCTCTGGGACTTAGGGGCCCATTTTAATTAGATGTGGGCCAGATGGTTTGGACAGATCTTGGCCAGTGGTTGCATGGAGGCCCAAAAATTGGTCACATGCAAGGGCTCTTTTGTGACTATGTCTTCCACTGTATTTTGAGACGAACACTGGAGGAGGCCACCGCTGTTAGGCGGAGAGGTAAGTAGGCACCTAAGTGGAGAATGGCTGGGTTAGATTAATGTACGGGTCTGGGGGGAAGGGGGGGGGTGTAGGCTGGTGGTTGTCTTAAAGCAAAACATGTTCCTTAAACTTGCAGTAGAAAATGACAGTGGCGCTTTGATTGTTATGGAAGACGCAGACTATTTGCTGTGCAGTGGCTTAGCTCCTGATTAAAGGGTCCCAAATTCTTACTGGGCTCCCCATGATGGGCACTGTCTCTCCCTCAACTCAATGTTCCAATGTGAACTTACCAAACAGAGGGCACTGATTGGGTGTTGGAGCTATGCAGGGTCAGCAAAGCACAGTGACGCTTCTCCGCACGGCCTCTGTGCTTAGTGACCCGATTGGAAGCCCTCTGCTTGGTGAGCCCTGGGTCAGTGAGGACGTGAAGATGATGCAGGAGCTAGCCACCCAACTACATCCATTTTTTTTTTCTAACCTTTCCCCACTCTAATTTGGAAGAGTGCTTATATTGTCTTGTTCCCAGGGGTGTCCTTTGGCCTTGGGGTTTTGGTGCTGACAGTGTACATTCGGTGCTGGGGGGTGGAGGCACTGGTGGTGCACACTAAGAGGTTGGTGGCTTCTGCATCATTTGGCTCTGGCCAGCGTTCTGCCCAATTCACTGATGTTACTGGTTGCCAGGAGCTGGGCAGGACACCGGCTAGAGCATCCCTGGTTGCCAGGAGCTGGGCAGGACACCGGCTAGAGCATCCCTGGTTGCTAAGAGCTGGGTAGGGAGATGTGTGTGGCTCTTAAACATCTCCCTGCCCGGCTCTTGGCAAACTGGGACGCCCTGGCCAGAAAGAGGGAGGCAGGTACACTAACATTGCCCCCCCCCAAATGACCCAAAGAGCTGCCATCTGAGGCAACAGCCTCAGGCTGCTGCATTATAGGTATGGCCCTGTGTGTTCTCATTGGGGAAATACTCATCACTTCCTGTCCCGGTGACCTCTCCTCAATTTGGTCACAGTACATAGGGGAAGCTACATTTGTTCATTAAATATGCATGCTGTGCTTCCTGGGTTAGTAGTACTACACAGCAATTGTGCTGCATTGTTCACCTTCCCCAATGTACATCCGCCAGTCTGCTCTGAGCAGCTGAAAATAATTAATTCTTGTCTCAGCAGTCCTTCAGCAAAGATGCTAAAACCTGACACACACAGAGAAGCCCCTGTAGGAAGATAATAAAAGTGTGTATATGAAATGCAATCATGTAAATACCAAAATGCAAATCTTTTACATTGAAAACTGATATAAAAAATTACATTTGGGTAATTGTTACCATTTAAAAGGTGCAGTTACAGGAAACCCGCCATCGCTTCACTTCAAAGTGCCAGAACAATGTGAACTATAGAAAATGATGAGTGAAATAAAATGATATAAGGTGTCTTTATTTTTATGATTTAATAATTATTTTGCTTTTCAGGATTCTTATCCTAGATATTTGAAATCTGAAATGTACAAGAATCTTCTGGGTCAAGCTTTTATCCCGCCGGAAACTAAGAAAGGGTTTGAGAACTTTATTATTATTATCATTATAGGGATGGTGACAACTCGCCATAGTTGTCTGCCTCTGGGAGGTGTAACTCCCAGAGGCAGAAGCATGTTGGGATTTGTAGTTAAAAGCAGAGCTGGAAGCCTGGAGTTGCCCACCCCTGCCTTCGACAGTCCAACTCTATCAAAAAATGTAAAAAAAAGTATTTTTCTCGATTGGGGTGTTTTCATAATCGAACAAGCAAAACAGCTTCCAGCAACCAACCTTCATCCTGGCAAGTAGATATATCAATGGGTATCGGCAAGCTACCCACTGATATATCCAGTAGGTAGCCTGTACCAGCCTTTTTTAAAGTAGGGTGCATGGCACCCTGGGGTTTCTTCTGGCATAGTCGGGGGTTTCTTCACATTTTTGCTAAATTAAGCTTTTAAAGTGAAAAGGGGGGGCCCTGATGTGAAAGGGGGGGGACTCTGTTGTGAAAGAAGGAGGGTTCTGTTGTAAAAGGATGTGGGACTCTAATGTGATAGAAGGTGGGCACTGATGTTAAAAGGAGGGGGACTCTGATATGAAAGGAGGGGGGGCTCTCATGGGAAAAGGGGAAGACTATGATGTAATAGAAGGGGGGCTCTGATGTGAAAGAGGGGGACTCTGATGTTAAAAGGAGGGGGACTCTGTTGTTAGGGGGACTATGATATGAAAGGAGGGGGGTCTGATGTGAAAGGAGAGGGGCTCTGATGTGAAAGGAGAGGGGCTCTGATGTTAGAAGGAGGGGGCTCTGATGTGAAAGGAGGGGGAGCTCTGATGTGAAAGGAGGGAGCCTCAGATGTATGGGTACTACGCATGTGTCATGCCTGTAACACTGTTGTTTATGTTGCAGCGTGTTTCCATTCATGAGAAGACAGCGTCACTCCAGTCCCAGCCCGGCCTTCCTATTTCCGCCAGGAGACCAAGAATCAAAGGCAGATGGAGACAGCAGAGTGAACTCGCCGGCAGCCATGTCACAGGTGATGATTGACGCAGTCATGTTTTTGTAGTCATACCATTTGTTCATGAATATGGGGGGCTCTTCTATGACATCTGATGATTAGGGAAATGCTGGTGGTGCACCATTTATATTAGTTATGCCTCCTGAGCTCCTAACAGGCATCCATCCATTATGAATGGCTACCAACCCACGGTCCGGGGTGCTTCTTCCATGAGGCATTGCAAGATTGACAGTTACAGGCATGACTTCCAGAGGCATGCTGTGAAAAGTGCAATTCATAAAGCCAAAGTTTAATCTGGAGGGGGTTGTGTCTGCCCCCAAAACGCATTGGCTGTTTGATCAACAGGATTATTAAACCTTTATATGGACTTTAACATCTGTTTTGGTCTGGCGCTCTTCTGTTTTCTGTCCCTCAAACAGTAACTGTCTGTGTTGCACAGTAGAAGCTATTCAGGTCCTTTCTTGTGTTCTTCTAATGAATCAAATGAATAGACTGATAATTACAGCTCAGTTATTAATGCCTTTAGATCAGGGGTGGGCAACTCCAGCCCTCCAGCTGTTATGGAACTACAAGTCCCATGAGGCATTGCAAGACTCTGTCAGCCAGAGGCATGACTTCCTGAGGCAGATGCATCATGGGATTTGTAGTTTCACCACAGCTGGAGGGCCAGAGTTGCCCACCCCTTCTTTAGAACCATCCAAAGATAAAACTAGTAGCTTTCTTTATTCCTTTTGGGTAGTAATATCTGCAAATCTTCTGGAGTGTATTTGTGGAATGTACCATCAATCGGGAAGGCTGAAGTGCACCCTCTAATATCTAAATTTAGAATGTCCGGTGTTTATTTGTTAATCCAAAAATACCCAAAATGTTTATATTCCAATCTCTGATCGAGCACTTGTGTCATGACCAAAGTAGATTTAAAGGCTTCAAAGGAACACTTGCTTGTTTTTTTAATAATAAAATACTGTTTTTTACTTGTTTGTATTGTCTTCACAAGCAGGCCAGACCCCATAAAACCCTGCTGATCTTGTTTAGTTAGGACCGCCATCTCCCACATCCTGCCGTTCCCTTATTGGTTCTTCAAAGCCTTTGTCTCCTTAAAGTGGAACTACAACCTCTTATCCTTTACAGCCAAGGAAGGTTCCTTCTTAAAAAAAAAAGGGAACATTACTCACCAATTGAATGTCTCCCAACACAGCTACTTTCAAGGCATGCCAATGTCAAGGTTGGCGGTGTGCTTATTTTACCTCTCAAACCCTCAAATGGTTGGTGTCATAGCTGATCACACGTGCAGCACAGTGGCAACTACAATCCAAATAGAAGCCAAGACGGGGGTCTATCTTGGCTGTAAAGAGGCTGTAGTTCCACTTTAAATCGATGAGTCTAGCTCTGCTTAAAGGATGTTGAAGCACAGGGTGGGTCAGCCCTCGATTATGACAAGACAAGATCTGGGCTTTGATAATAGCAGGTACATGCAGGCTCCTGGGGGTGCTCTGGGGGTTACTTCAGCTAGGTTATTGGGAGGATATGCTTATTTTACAATCTCTCACACCATCTGAAGCTTTCATATCCAGGGCAGTTGGGCACTTTGAAGATACTTCCCTGTACTGTGCTGTGTGGCCTTTGCACTAGCCACCCTCTCCCAAGAGCCAAGAACATTCAATGAAGGATTAAAACCCCAAACTCAAAAGCAGGATGAGCATGAACGGTAGATAGATAGATAGATAGATAGATAGATAGATAGATACATAGATAGATAGATGCATAGATAGATAGATAGATAGATAGATAGATAGATGGATAGATGGATAGATACATAGATACATAGATAGATACATAGATAGCTTGCTAGATAGAGTCGAACTAGATCTCTGTTGGAGGCAACCTGGCTCCAGCAGCAGAGGACAGGAAGGAGTGTGTCTGTAGCTCCGGTGCAGCCCCAAGTTACTCCTGGGCGGGCAAAGTAAGTAACTGAAACACCAGAACTGCTCTAATTGGAGCTCTCAATGCCAGCTCCTCCCCAGAAGAGGATGATGGGATGACCTTTACGTAGTCGTATTCTCCAGTCATTATTACATATGTCTTGACTCTGTAGATATCCCATCGCACACCTGAAGATATGTCACCGATACACCAATGGATCCTCATTGGAACGTCAACGCCTTTGTTGATGTTCATCCATAATGTCAGGAGAGCAATGTTTCGAACACCGTTGTGTTACATGGCTGATTAAGGGACCTTGAGAGGGACTCGTAGAAGTGCGGTGACGTGGCCATACTCGTAGTCCTTGATGAGTTCCTCCAGCTCCATAACTGAAGGTCCATACCTCTGTACGGACCTGTGGCTGGAGGAACAGTCTGCAGGAGCCTGAACATTGGCTTGCAATCCACTGATTGGGGTTCCAATACTTTGCAGACTCCGATGCACAAATATATTAAGTGTTTTTTTTACGTTTTGTTTGCAATATCGGTGCATTTATTAAGAGAATATTCCTTCAACGAGGTCTCCTTTGCTGGCTAGCAGGGCTGATTGCTGGGGAACTCATTCCTGTGTGCTCCCTGTCTTTCCCATTGCCCTAGGTAGTTAGAAATTGAACCTCTGCGCATTTCTTTTCACAGAAATAAGTTTTATCATTGAGAGAGTCGTGCCGCTCTTTAATGGACAGAATTAATCACCTCCTTCCCATGCCTCGCCTCACTTCATTTATTCCGCATTGTAAAAGATTAATACCAGTGCTTCCAGAATTCAATTACCATTGGCATAGAGATCTCCAGTCAATTATCTGCTCTTATTTTTTTTTCCCCTCGATGAATATTGTATTAAAACCGCTCCGTTTGCAAATTCTGTGTCAGGCCGCGGTCTCTTGTGTGACGAATCCGCGCCCTTGTCACCTTGTAACACCGAATGACAAATTAGCACAATTAAAATAGTAACTTAGACACTATACTCTGATACTAAAGATTGAATTTGTGGGTTTTACAAATGAGTGCGGAGCATTATATATGCAGCGGTCATTGCATGATCTCTTTTGTGTTTTTGAAATTATTTGTTGGTGCCGCAGACAAGAAAACTTCAGATTTTCCCCACTTTAATGGATTTTAATGACGTTTAAGAGGTCCATACGTACAGTATATTTAAAGTATATCGTAAATAAATCCACTGTGGCCATTGAAAGAGAAGTTTCTTTTTTTATATGTTACATAATACATACCAAAGTAAGTAAGTATTTTTATATTAAAGCCCATCTCTGGTCAAATTATGTCCCTTCCCTTTTAAAAACCCTTCCAAAGCTCCCCTGTGTCTGCTGTCATGTGACCCGTTCGCCATGTCATGGAGTGAGAACTGGTGATCCAGTCCAGGTCCATTGCCAACTGATCTTCTGCTGCCCCTCATTGTGACACCATCACTCCTCCCCTGGGGTCTTCAGGAATCTGTCAGGCCCCCACCTATGGACAATGAACGGGAAGTGTCCATGTCCCCAGGCGGCAATTCAGGCCCCCGAAAAAATGGTCTCTCCCACTCTGCAGTCCAAATGAAAGAAGGAAGCAATGTGTCATGTTGTGACCACTTTTTTAATTACTGAGAGATGGGGATAAAGTTTAGTGGGGATGGGGGTCCCTAGCCACAGTAGAGCTTTAAAGAGAACTAGCCATGTCCAGGTTTAATGCAAGGATAAGTATATCCAATATTAAGGTTTATTAACATTTCCATCATTATTTATCTGTACTTACTTTGCTTCTGACTTTCCAGCTTGAGAGTCAAGGCCAGAGGTGGGCAACTCCGGCCCTCCAGCTGTGCTTTAACTACAAATCCCGACATGTTTCTGCCTCTGGGAGTCATGCCTGTAACTATCATGCAATGGGACTTCTAGTTCCACAACAGTTAAAGGGCCGGATTTGGCCACCCCTGGTCAAGACAGTCTGTCACCTGAAGTCTGACAGATTCTGCCTTGTCTCATACAGTCTCCAAAGCTGCTAAGAGTGAGAAATATAGTTCCAAAATTGGAACAACTTGAGAGCTGTTTTATAATGCCATGCACATGGAGGAAAAATGTGAAATCAGGATTATCTTTAAATTCCTTAAACATTTCAGGAAACACTTAAAAATGTATCAAAAAGTGATAAACCTTTTTTTGGCCTATCCTAATCGCTGACTTGTAGTTCTATCGCCCCCTGCTGGCCATCTATCTTACATTCTTTTTTTTTTCATGAACTTTGGTTGTAGATTACGCAGTAACATGATTCCGTTGTTTAAATATTTATAAGAGCGGATTATCCGCTGTCCGTGTCATCGGCAGAAATCCTTTTCCCTGTGCCGTTTTTATAGCCTCTGCTACGGAAACGGTTCCCAGGCCTTTCAAGTCTCCAGATTTCATCTCGCCAACAATTAGCGGTCCGCGGGGAGTCTGGCAGGCCGGCTAGTTCTGGAGAGACTTCTTGTTCCCATATTTAGTGACGGCGCATTAATACCAGCGTCAAGAAAATTAAACTCCCGCGGTTAATTAGGGGCAGCCTGTCCTCATCTGTGTTTATACAGAGACAGATTGTGTTCGCTTTATAAAATATGGTCACCGAAATGTTGCCAATTTGTTTTTCCAGAATCAAAATTCATTATGGAGCTTAGCTGTTTATGTAAGCCGGTGCTGGTCAGCTTTCTTGGTATGTGTGGCATTTGACATTACCAAAGGGTCACACGTAATATTAATTGAATATAGTGCTACAGAAAGCTGCCAGAGACTACAAGTATGCAACAAGAGGACATCAGAGACTGCAGACATGCTAGAAGAGATGGTCAGAGACTGGAAACCTACTATAGGAGATGGTCAGGGACTGCAGACGTACTACAGGAGATGGTCAGGGACTGCAGACATTCTATAGGAGACGGTTAGGGACTTCAGACAAACTATAGGAGACGGTTAGGGACTGCAGACATACTATAGAAGACGGTTAGGGACTGCAGACATACTACAAGAGATGGTCAGGGACTGCAGACATACTATAGGAGATGGTCAGGGACGGCAGTCCTACTACAGGAGATGGTTTGGGACTGCAGTCCTACTACAGGAGATGGTTAGGGACTGCAGACATAGTATAGGAGATGGTGAGGGACTGCAGACATACTATAGGAGATGGTCAGGGACTGCAGACATAGTATAGGAGATGGTCAGGGACTGCAGACATAGTATAGGAGATGATTAGGGACTGCAGACATAGTATAGGAGATGGTTAGGGACTGCAGACATTCTATAGAAGATGGCGAGGGACTGCAGACATACTATAGGAGCTGTTGGGTAACTGTCTACAACTCTTTGCATGTGAAATGCATTAGAAGGCAGAGGTTCAGGTGGATCTGTCTGTGCTCCAGATGGTTGAATAAAATCTTCTTCATGGCTTCTTTCTGTCTCTGTGTAGGTACTCTAAACTCAGGAGTTAAATCTTAAAATTACATTCAAGTACCTTCACTATGAACAACAATGTATCTTATTTGTGTATCACTCGGCTGTAGATCCTCAAATCATCTCTGAATTGGTGCTGACACTGTCCTTCCTTCTGGAGGGGGGCTACTTGTGTTCCACATGGTCCCTGTGTGTGTTGTAAAGTAGTCACCGCTCCAAGCTCACTCCCGTGATGGACTACAATCTCAATACAAACTAGCTAACTAAACATGGAATTGTAGTCCATCACAGGAGCGAGCTTGGAGCGCTGACTACTTTACAACACACACAGGGACCATGTGGAACACAAGTAGCCCCCCTCCAGAAGGAAGGACAGTGTCAGCACCAATTCAGAGATGATTTGAGGATCTACAGCCGAGTGATACACAAATAAGATACATTTTGGTTAATAGTTAAGGTACTTGAATGTATTTTTATGATTAAATCTTGAGTTCAGTGTTACTTTAAGGATGACACCTCTTCCTATACAAATGCTGTTAGTTTACATAGCTGGCTTGTTAGTTGTGGTTTCCCGGCCATTAGTTTTAGTCATTCCCAGCCTTCTGAGAGAAACATTTTTGGTTTACAAGCTGCCCTTTCTGTTTTAGGACAGACCCCTGCTGGGGAAAGACTTACAAAATGACAAAAATAACTTCCTCCAGAGGACACAAACATGGAATCTGAAATTCTCTGTCCTAGTAAAGTTTCTGAAGATGTAAATAGAGCCCATAACGGAGGATCTCAGATCTACAAAGCAAATATCTGCAGGACTGCTATAGGAAGCAACGGGGTTCCCTTCCTGGATGATGCCTCACCTCCCTTATCCCCTTCTATGGGCAGATGCCACCATGCAGCTTTCTTTATTCTAATATTTTTCAGAACCTATAATTTGAACAAACTTTTATCTTCGAGATGCAATTTAAATTCAAGATTCCTACCAATTAAGACTTAGTCCTTCTTGTCGGGGTTCAGAGTTACTAGGTTGTCTTTCTTTTGATCTTTAGGTCACATCGCCCCATATATTCTCAGCCTGAGACCCATTTTTATTTTATTTGTTGCCTGAAGACTTCCCTCTGTCTTGCCATGAATTACAATGTATATGAATTGGGGACTAAGTCCCATCCTGACAGATTTATTCCTAGGCCCACCAGAGGAGGAAAGCCTCTGCCCTGTTGGGGGCCCTGTTCTTAAGTCTTACCTGTACCGATAGAACTGCAGGTGTCCTCCATGAGCTCAGCTCACCAACCCTCCCTGAAGTCATAGTAATTGTTCTTCCCCCATCTGATGGACCTCTGCATGAAAAAAAAATGGCTTTGGAAACCTGGCTTCTTTAGTTTCCTCCATGCCCCTAGCCTGCTGATTGGAGAATAAAGGAGCAGCCATAGATATTGACAATATCTTTATACCTTCTGGTAAGCATGTTCCCAGTGCCATATAACAGAGCCTGGCTGGCTAATAGCAATGGCCCTTATCTCAGTCTGACCCTTGGCATGCAGGGAATTATGAGACGCTAACATAAAACACATTTTAGGTACTTGTACTATCTATAGTTAAAAATACATTTATTCTTATTCAGTTAAAAGACAACTGTATTGTTTCATTTTAAATCTACTCATTCTATAAAAGAAATGGGGGCGTATAAATCACTTTTTTAATTTGTTTCTTTTCATCAGAGCTAGAATTGATCGAATGTAATTAAATAGGCTTTGCAGGAGCAGTCACTTTTTTTTGTTTTTCTCTTCTGAATTGGAAACTTGAAAAATAGGTCTGTGGATAATTAATTTAAAAAAACATCTGACTGCTTAATTCTAATTGGAAAAAAAACAAACAACTGTTGTGTATGTAACTAGCATAATTAAAATTCATCCAGTCAATTCACTCCTCATACTAGAGCTACAGCAGGAAGGCGGCCATGTTGTGTTCCAAACTGGGAATTTAGCCTATTGATGTGCCCGGAATGAATGGCTAGGAATGTATCTTCCTGATACCATATCAGTCACAGGAAGCTGTTGTGTTGTTCCATTTGACCACAAACATGTGGGCCGCCATTTTCTTGGTTAGAAAAAGAAATAAAAAAAATTGTGTGTGGTTGATGTGGACAACTCCACTCTGCCAGTGCTTTTGCCTATGTCCTCACCTTCATCATTGTCACCTGTGTTTTCGTATCTCATTTGCACAGCTGTCCCCGCTAAGCAGTCCCTTGGCTAAGTTACCCGGAAACCTGTTGCCTGCTTGCCCCGAAGAACAACAGTCCTTGCACGGTGCCTCCTCTTCCTCTGCACACCTGGAAGCTCCTTCTACCTTCCCACCTCCCTCCGTGAATGGCTCTGAGAGGTGTAATCTCAGTCACTTGTTTTCATTTGCTTCGATGATAACGTGTTAAAGGGAAACTCCACTTTAAAAAAAAAATATGGCATAAAAAAAATAGCTGCACAAGCCATTTTGTAATTCACTGTTATTAAAATATACATTTGCATTTAAAATTGCAGCTGCTGTAATTTCCTAAAAATGCAATGCAATATGGCGACCTGGAGACCTTCTGTATATGGTAAGTGTACAGAACGCCCCCAGAAATGTAATCTCCTGCTTCTGTGATTGGCTGACTTATTTTTCCACAAGTCCGCACCAAGTTACAAGTCAATTTACAGCCATTCACTGCAATAGGAATTTCATGTCTGGTGAGATACTCCCTGAGGGCCGGCTCACACCACAAAGTCTGCGTTCCAGAGGTAGTGCTTGCAGCATTTTTGCAGATCGCACTGGACCGGAACGCAGGCACTAATGTGCCACAGGTGCAGGCGATCGCACTGCAGGCGGGGGGGGGGGGGGGGGGGGGGGGGAGGGGGGGGGGGGGGAGGGGCGTGGCTGTGGTGCCATTGACTTGAATGCACCTTTTGCCCTCTGCTGATTGACAGCAGCAGTGGGCGGGTGCAATAGCTAGTTTGCTATTGGCTATTGCAAAGTGAAATAGCCAATAGGAATCTAGCTATGCATTCCTATGCTGTTTTTTTTTTTCTGACTGATGGCGGCCCCGATGTCAGAAAAAAAAACACAGCTTGATTGAGCAGAGTAAACCTTTCCAGGAGAAAGTGTTTCTCTCCCGGGCGGCCAGGAGCCGTTATCTAATAGCGGGAGACTCCCGCAGCATCTGCAACACAAAGTCCCCCAGCTGATTATAATTTAGGCTGACCATCCCATTCAGGGATCAGTTTGCAAAGGACATGCTGGTGCAAACTGCTATTTCTTCAGAACAAGGTTGGAATCTGCAACAAGGTTTCTTAAAATCCTTGCAGTGTATATTGATCACCCCGAGGGGATTGATTTTTACTCAATAAAAGTGGAGTTACTCTTTAATAATAATAATATTATGGCACGGCCATGAGGTACTCAGATACTCCAGTTTCTGAGTCTCTGCTAATTATATCTCTTTCTTAACATAGAAAATGATTTAAAACTGACTCCAGCCAAAACTTTGTATTACATTTTGGATAGACCTGGGAAGAGTTAAAGCCAATATGAGGACTTTACTGCCGTCTTGTGTCCCAGTATGGAGATATGAACTTCCTGTCAGGACCTTTACTTGTCCTGGTTTCACAGGGACAGGATGTGAAGGGAAATCTCCTTAATAGGTTGACAGGCAGAAATATAAAGCTGAGTGAACTGTTACTTTATCTAAAATTGGGGACAACAATTAGGCTTTGACATTTTAATATATCCAAAACTAAAAACAGGGGGGGGTTGAAATTTTATGGTGAATCTTCTATGTAGAAGTTCAACCCTTTTTACTCCTCAGTTCCTGTCCCAAAGAGAGTGGTCTTTAGGACAGGAAATGAGGAGGAATGTCCCCATTGGGAACACGGGCAGCAACAAAAAGCCACCAGGGGGGTTTAACTCCATACAATTAAAAAGGGTTTTGGCTGGGGTTCTGTTTTAATGCCAACAAATGGTGAAATGTTGTGTTTGAACAGAAATGTCTTTCAATACCATTTTACTGAATTTTATATCTTGTTTTTACATTTATTGTATGTGCTTGGAAGACATGCAAAGGCATTTAAGGTAGTATTATCTATACAAGCTTGTTTAGGATCTGAGATGTAAAGTTAATAAGGTTTTGGTAAAGTGTGAAATATTTTGTCCTGCATAGTGGTCAAGTTCCCGGTTCATATGCTGCTTCTGAAGTAATGAGACCTGGAGCTCCATTTTAGATATTGTCTGCAGTGCAACCTTTAGGTGAAACCTGGTACTGAACCGCGATCCCTGCATTGAGACTTTGTGAGAGATCTGTTATTTCTATAAGCTTGATTATGGGCAGATATAAAACTAGTCTAATTAATACAAGTGTGTACTGCAGCAGTGAAAGGTATCACTCAAGGCAGACCTAAAGCCCCACAGCCAGCAGCGGTGGACCCATCCTTAGCCCAAATACACAGGTCCAAAGTGTAAAAAGTTGCATTACCTCCAAGTCCTTTTTTTCCTTTTTCAATAAACTTTATTCAATTGGGAACTGTGCATTAACAGAATTCTCCAGACCTTCTGCTCGAACACGTTTCACCTTGGGAGGGACCTTAGGGAAGGGATGCGCTGGAGGAGGAAGAGCAGGGTCTAGTGGATGTCGTGCTTTGTAATGCATGATTCCCTATAGAATTAGTTTTGTTTTTTTAAAGAAACAAAGCAGTTGGCAGTGGTCCGGCTTGTATCACTTTTGGTCCATGTATTTGGGACCAGGATGGGATTTCTTCACTTTTAGTCCATTGTATGAGCATCCTGTATTACCCTTTAAAGTAGAACTCATACTGAGGGGGGAGCAGAACTAGGAGTCAATCAGGTGTGCTACAAGCATATGCGCTGATGGTGAACCTGTTTACAGGAAGAGAGTGAAAAGTGATTAGCTTATGGTATTCTGCTGCACCTACACTGTCCGAACACAGGCTATGGGTGGGGAGGTGACCAAGCTGTATTGCCTAAATGTATTAGAGAGAAGTAGAGTCACCAGCCTGGATCTGTTGTCCAGTAGTTCACTTTCAGAGGAACAATGATTAGTAGAACTGGCGCCTTAGTCTTTCATAATCAAATTCAAAGGGTGACATTTTCCTGGACTAGTTGGTATTACCCAACCACAAGGGTATATTTAAAAAAAAATGTTGGTCTACCTCCTTCACCATTGCAACCTGGGATGTTGATCCCAACAGCAGGGCTCCTGTTACCCTCCATAGACTGTGCAAGCAAATGAAAGCTCTGCAGTCTAAATACAATCCATAATTCCTCTTTGTTAATTAAAAGCCAAAATCCAGTACATCACAGCAACATGACAGTAAAGTGTTTTGGCTTTACAAGCCTTAGCCATAGCTTGTATAGCCAAAACGCATTAGCGTCTCGTTGCTGTGATGTACTGGATTTTGGCTTTTAATTAATAAAGAGGAATTATGGATATTATTTAGACTCCAGAGGTTTAATATGCTTGCACAGTCTATGGAAGCGTAACAGGAGCCCTGCCAGTATATCACAGCAACAAGGTAGTAAAGTGTTTCAGCTATACAGGCCTCAGCCAAAGCTAAGACTAACAGGGTTATTCACAAAAGGGTGAAGAGTTTGGAGAAGGCAGGAGAAGGGAACAATCTAGGACAACAACATTGCTGAACTGGAAAGTAAGCTGAATTGGAGAATTTTTCCACATCAGCTATGTTGTCCTAGATTGTTCACTTCTCCGGCCTTCTCCACACTCTTCACCCTTTTGTGAATAACCCCAGTCAGGCTTGTATAGTTGAAACGCATTAGCATTGTGTAGCTGTGATGTATTGTGTTTTGGATTTTAGTTAATAAAGAGGTATTATGGATAGTATGTGTACTCCAGCCCTTTCATTTACTTACCCAACACGAGGCCTAAAATGATGGCATCAGTCTCTTGCATTTGGTTCAAGAGTTCTCTCCATTCTCCTTTTTTTGAAAACTTAAAAGAAAAATGTTTCGGCTTAGAGATCTACTTTAATGTTCAGCATCTAGGAGAAGCCGAGAAATCAGTCTTAGGTGCAGCTATCTTTTTGTACATACATAGTAGGCCGCCTTGATTTTTTTTTTTTGGAGACATTTTGAAGTACTGACCCATTTTCCAAAGACTTCTTTTTTTTCATCAAATCTCTTTTTATATGAGCGCACAGAATGTAAAACTCCCTTTCAAAGTAAATCTTCACTTAATGCCTGTGCAAAGATGTCTTGTTTCACTCGCTGTTATTTAACATCACAGGCCTTTTCATACAGCTCTGCATTAAGCTCACTGCTCTCTCGCTCTCTCCCCCTACCCCCCCCCACACCGCCTCGCACGTTATTCCCATCTCTTTATAATAAAATCACTTCCGCCAGCTGAGCATTTCACTATAGAGCAAAAAAATAAAAAGCTGCCAGCTTTAGATTATTTAAAAACATCTGTGATCTCCTTATAAGTTACATAACATCTATTATCAATGTGAGGCAGCAAGAGAGGGCTTGTGTTCAATCTAAATTCGTGTGTAGGGGCATTGTTTAATATTGGTTAAAGAAGAAGGACAAAAACAGCGAACTGTAACAATATAAAGATGAATTCAACTAAGGCCTCATTCACACGAGAAAAAGCCGGCACATACAGCTGCATGCACGGCCGTATCGGGCAGCTCCCGGGAAGGAGAGGTGCTGCATGTGATTAGTACGCAGCCCTGTCCTTCTCTATGGGAGTGCGCAGACCTAAGCCGCCCTACGCTCACCCGCCCTGCACGTCCGTGCGGGTGTCCGTACTCATACGCTGACAGGATTGATCCTGTCTGCGTCCGAGCCGGGACACCTGCACCCGTACGGACCTGCACTTGGGATGAGCTTAGGGCGGCTTACGGCAGCACCTGTCCTTCCCGGGAGCTGCTTGGTATGGCCGTTCACGCAGCACGGATCTGCATGTGGCGGCTTTTTCTCGTGTGAAAGAGGCCTAAGATAATACACAATAGCTGCATAAAAACCATGTAACAAAAAAGAACAATCTGTTACAAAAATACAATACTGAAACAACAAAGCTTCCTTTTTTTGGTTTGCAGTGCTCCTAAAACTGTAATGGTTTGACCCTTGTGCTCCTGATTCCCAATGTGAGAGCCGCTCTGAGTACCATTCAGTTAAACATTGAGTAACCAGGCTCTCGGGATTCTTGCACAAACACTCTTGGTTCTGCACTGTGTCATGCGAGTCTGACAGACCAATTGCATGGCCATGCCTAAGAGCTTGAAGCATACACCGACCAGCCGTAACATTATGAACACCCGCCTAATATTGAGTAGGGTCTCTCTTGCCATCAAAACAGCTCTGACCCATCGAGACATGGACTCATCTAGACCTATGAAGGTATGCTGTGGTATCTGGCACCAAGTCGTCAGCAGCAAATACTTTAAGTCCTGTAAGTTGCGAGGTGGGGCCGCCTTTGCTCCCCATGTGCATTTTAATTGACTGCTTTTTATCAGTCTGCCAGTTCTTCCCAAGATTGCATCAAATATTTTAGCAACAGAGTAAATAAAAAGCATAAATGATAATGTTTGCTGTATTGCTCAAATATGTTTGTTTAGACATTTCAAGTATTCCTAACATCCAGTTCATTAAACCCACACAAAACTTGTTTCCATGGGGGCAGGGAGCTGCATTGGAATTTTCTGTTTAAGGGACATTCCATAGCCAGCTGTGACTTTTTGTAGACAAGATTCCCATGGCAAGGGGCAGAATCTGAAGGTTTCCCATTAGGTTGCCTAAACATTATACAAGTGTGATAGAAGAGTAATAACAGCAACGTAGAAACTTGATAAATTCACTGCCTTGTGCTACCGTATCAGATACTTAATAAAGAGAATATTAGGTTTAAACTGAAGGTGGAGCTTCTACTTAAAGTCTATCTCTGGGCTAACCAAAAAACTAGCCATGCAGTGGGGCTACACCTGCACTGTCAGGGTTATCTTCTCATTGATGCCTAGAGGAAAGGAAAAAGCTTACCTACCTGATCCCCGCCCCTGTTGGCTCCCTCTAGGCTCACCTGGGCTCCAGCGGTCTAAGGACCACTGACATCATCACGTGTAATGAAGGTTCTGTAGACAGTCTACCAGGTGGAGCGGGGGAGAGAAGATAAGGAGGGTGCTGACCACCAGGGTAGAGGGAATCAGATAAACGTGCTTTACTCTGGTCCCCTAGGCATGAATGAGCAGTTAATCCTTGCAGGGCAGGGGTAGCCCCATTGCAAATGAAGTTTTTGGTTTGTCCAGAAATAGACTTTAGGGGTCAGTCAACCTGAAATTGGTGTTTTTTTTGTACAATAGGAGTCTAACTGTCTGAGTCCCCCCACCGGTGTCCTTTACTTTTCTATTGGTGGTATATAGATTCTATTCCTGTCTGGCAGGGAATTTTTTGGGTGTTCCTAATAACCATTTGTCAGCACAAGCAATGAGAAGAGTGATTGTCACCAGAACAGGGAGACAGAGACAGTAATAATAATGTGACAATATAAAATTTCAGCAGGTAGAGTGGGAGCCTCGCATCATGGGCACTCTGATGCAGATATCTCAACCGTATGGTCTTTTTACCAATAGGGTCCCAGAGAGATACACTATAAGGGCTATTCATAAACGGGTGAAGAGTTTGGAGAAGGCAGGAGAAGTGAACAATCTAGGACAACATAGCTGATTTGGAAAAATTCCCCAATCCGCTCACTTTCCAGTTCAGCTATGTTGTCCTAGATTGTTCACTTCTCCTGTCTTCTCCAAACTCTTCACCCTTTTGTGAATAACCCTGTATATGCCCAAAGGTTTGTAGGCACATGGCCATCATATGAGCCCTATCAACCCTCCCTCCCCCCCCCCCTACAAACACATACATACCTCGGTGGCTGTGACAGCCTCCACTCTTCTAGGAGGGCTTTCCGTGAGATTTAGGAGTGTACCTGTGGGAATTTGTGCCCATTCAGGCAAAAGAACATTTGTGAGGTTGGATGAGATGTGAGGTTGAATGTTGGATGAGAAAACCTGGCTTGAGATTGAGTTCCAATTTCTTCCAAAGGCGTTCAGTAGGGTTGAGGTCAGGTACTGATGTTGGATGAGAAGACCTGGCTCACAATCTGCGTTTCAATTCATTCCAAAAGTGTTGAGTAGGGTTGAGGTCAGGGCTTTGTGAAGGCCACTCGAGTTTCTCCACAAGAAACTGATCAAACCATGTCTTTATTGAGCTGGATTTGTGCACAGGGTCATGGTCATGGAGTTACAGAAAACTGTTACCACAAGGTTGGAAGCACCCAGTTGTGTAGAATGTCAATAGTTTGGACAGTTGTCCTCATACATCTTGCCATATAGTGTATAAGATATCAGTTTAGGATGGACTAACCCATTAGAAGGACTTACCAGATTCTCATTCTTTATATCAAAACTATCTTGTTTGTTTTAACACAGGAATAAAATCCCCCTTGAATGCCAAATATACATCGTAGACAAAGCTTTCGACAACCAAAAGGACCTGCGGAAACCTGAGGCGGACACGGAAAGCCTAGAATCTTCTACCGTGTTTTGACAGCAAGACTGATGCCTCCACTCACTTTCTTGTCTACCACTGGGTCAGGTGCCTTTATACAGAGAAGTATGTAAGATTGGACATGATAAAAAGCTTGAGTGAAGAAACATGAAGCTTGGCAAACTCATTTTTTCCACCACAGGTTAGAAAGAAAAACGGTAAAACATTATTGGTTGGTATGGGCCTTGGCAATACCACAGTCTTCCTTCTCCCCAGTTTTTATAAATATACATAACCTGTGCCTCGTCATCTGCTGGAGGAGTCTCAGAATTCCATTCCAGCCCATGTGCATTGTGAGAGAGGACAAGGTATAGCTCCCGATGATGGTATTCAATGTGTATGTGTAACCAGGGCACCAATACAGAGCTAATGGGGGTAATTTAAGGAGTCATTCCAACCTAGCAGTTCATGGATACATGAATCCCCAGTACATCAGAACAGACCAACCCAGGCATGGATTTCAATGCTGGGGTTATGTTTTTGAGCCTCCAGTACCACTGATCAAGGTTTTTCTGAAGCTGAACTCTAGGTTGGTATGAAAAAACAGAATTAATGCAGCTCTGAATTCATTAATACATCTTTAAATGTATTTTTTTTAATGCAAGCAGTGTAAGTACCTCATTGTGACCCGGTATCAGCCCCTTGTAGTCACCTGTACAGCAGAGCTCAAAATGGGAATAGAAGAAGCACCAGAAGGAGTCAATCAGTTTTGCTGCAGTGCAAGGAGCATGCTGATAGGAGGGAGTAGAAAGATGAGCTCATCAGTCTTCTGCTTCTCCTTTTCATGTCCAGTCACAGACTGGGGGTGGGACAAGACCTGTAAATATTACTGAACTGCTGCAGACAAAAAAATCAGGTCTCTTGCCCTGCCAGACAGAGTTGTGCGGTGTAAATCTCAGAACTGGATGGATAGAGATACTGATCCTTTAGCAGATAAAACATCTCCCGTATATGTATTTCATCCGTGTATTTAGCTGTTTGTCTGGAGTTCAGCTGGAAGCGGTACAATGTCCATTTTATTATATATTAACCTATTTCTATGATTACTGTATCATTATCATATAGAATGGAACCTATTGAGTATCTGCCTGAAGGACAATTTTCCAGCTCAGCTTATTCATGTGACATTTTATGGCTGAACAAGAAATTGCATTAAAAGGCCGGAAAGGCTTGTTACTGTCATGTAATGTGATACAAATATTCTGTTATAGCGAGAAGAGTCAGCACTGAGGAATTAGCGCTCGCGGTTTAATATGCATGACCTATAGCGGTGGCAGCGGGAGGGAGGTCTGTCTTAAAGGAACTCTGCACATTTCTTTTTTCTGTTACTCATGTTAGATGTGGGGAATGGAGTGTGATGTTATGTGTAATGTTGGGAACATTTCTGCACGAGGCATTGTTATATGACATACTGGCAGCAACCATCATGCTTCTATCCTCTCCTCCTTCCTCATGTGTCTACATATGTTTTGGCCATGTAGGTTGGTGTGATGGTCAGATGTTCACAAACTTTTGGCCATATAGGTAGGTGTGACGGTTAGGTGTCCACAAGCTGTTAGCTATATGGGTAGTTGTGATGGTGAGGTGTCCACAAACCTTTGGCCCTATAGGTAGGTGTAATGGTCAGGTGTCCACAAGCCGTTAGCTATATGGGTTAGGTGTCTACAGGCCTTTGGCTATATAGGTAGGTGTGATGGTCAGGTGTCCCCAAACCTTTGGCCCCATAGGTAGGTGTAGTGGTCATGTGTCCACAAGCCGTTAGCTATATGGCTTAGTGTGATGGGCAGGTGTCTACAGGCCTTTGGCTATATAGGTAGGTGTGATGGTCAGGTGTCCCCAAACCTTTGGCCCCATAGGTAGGTGTAGTGGTCATGTGTCCACAAGCCGTTAGCTATATGGCTTAGTGTGATGGGCAGGTGTCTACAGGCCTTTGGCTATATAGGTAGGTGTGATGGTCAGGTGTCCCCAAACCTTTGGCCCCATAGGTAGGTGTAGTGGTCATGTGTCCACAAGCCGTTAGCTATATGGCTTAGTGTGATGGTCAGGTGTCTACAAGCCTTTGGCTATATAGGTTGGTGTGAAGGTCAGGTGTCCCGAAACCTTTGGCCCCATAGGTGGGTGTAGTGGTCAGGTGTCCACAAGCCATTAGCTATATGGTTTAGTGTGATGGTCAGGTGTCCACAAACCTTTGACCATATAGGTAGGTGTGATGGGCTGGTGTCCACAAGCGGTTGTGCAAATAGGTAGGTGTGATGATCAGGTGTCTACAAACCTTTGGCCAGATAGGTAGGCGTGATGGTCAGGTGTCTACAAACCTTTGGCCATATAGGTAGGCATGATGGTCAGGTGTCTACAAACCTTTGCCCATCTAGGTAGGCGTGATGGTCAGGTGTTCAAATGGTAGCCATAGAGACTTCTAGAGATCACTGCTTTTACTGCCCCTTTACAAATCAAGGATTTCACATTTATGCTCCCTACAGATCTCTTAACAATGACATTTGTCACATGTTACATGAGACTTCTAGAGATCACTGCTATTACTGCCCCTTTACAAATCAAGGATTTCACATTTGTGCTCCCTACAGATCTCTTAACAATTACATTTGTCACATTTGATATTTACATTAGTAAGATCCGTTGAAAGAGATCAGAGGAAAAAAAAAAAACTACTAAAACCCGTCTAAAGAATTGCTTTTCCTTCAATGGCCTGAGCAAGCAGCTAGGTAAGTAAAACATAGATTAATCTCTGCAGGGGCCTCGAGGGGGCCACACAATAAGTGCCAGAGGGCCACAGGTAGGGGAACCAGGGTTGTAAATAATATATCCTAGGTGCAGTTGGCCACATTTGTCACTAGATGGCACAGTAACCCAAACACTAAAATACCTGCTACCTGAACCACTGAGTGACTGTAGTATATGGAAACCCAAGACCGAATGTTTGATATATTGCAGCTTACCCGTCCTCGTATATCGTGGCTGCATATGTTTACTTTTCTGGGGCTACGAACATTTCCTTATAGAAACCCAGTGTCCTTGTAACTTCCTTCTGAACTGAAATCTCAAAGAATGGTGTCAGGTTTCCCAGCTATCTTTTGTGAACTACACACCCCGTCCTCTCTATGTAATGGTAATGAGGAAAGGGGGAGGTGTTTGTGCTCTAATTCAGTAGAGCAGCCTAGGGTGACACCCCTGCTGCTCCATAGGTACAGTGCAGTGAGTGAGCGTTGTCACCCTAGGACAGGTGCAAATAAAGAAAAGAAAGCCTTAGAAAAAGAAAACGAATGCAGCCACCACACCGAAGGACCAGAAGGCTGCAATATGTTACATTTTTGTTCTTGGGTTTAGATATCCTTTAAATACCGTTTGACTGATCTATAGAAGCTAATCACAATCAACACCAGTGTTTTCCTTATCATTGTCAATTTCCTTTTTCCTCATATATTCTTCCCTTTTGCCCTTTTCCACCTGCACAAATATTGATTGTCATTTGGAAATGTGTTTGATTTGCTTTTTCAACCATTTTCCCAGCCATTTTGTTTTGACTTTTTGTGGTATTGCCTCCAACCGTCACTGGGTATACGTATGTTCTCCCCATATAACATCAGATCTTTATATCGGCCACCATGGGTCGGCCGACGGCGTCTCCCCTGTCTATGGCCTCATTTACACAATCACCCCCGTAAAGTGTGTTAAATTCCGCCTCATACATCCATTATCAAACGTCGTTTTTTTTTTCGAGGAGAAACACTCTGCATGACTTTACCCTGGTACGATTTGCACTAAGTACGGTCCGCATCATTAGGGCTATGTAGGTATGTAGGACTAACCTTGGGCCATGGTTATCAAAGTCTCTGGTACAGGTCATACTATAGAAAATGTATTATTTATTCCATAGATTGGATGGTGGTTGTTCAGTATATAAAACTGTTAGAATATTTATGTCACTGCCAATAAAGTTCTTTTTGAAAGAAAAGATGGAGTCGTCAGTTCTGTGTGCGCCAATCCTGGCTGTGGAGTGTGAAATGTGTATTAAAGTCCATCTCTGGGGGGGTAAAAAAATCCCCCTTGCAGTGGGGCTGCCCCCGAACTGCAAGGGTTCACTGCTTGTTTAGGTCTGGAGCAGGGGTGGGCAACTCTGGTCCTCCAGCTGTGCTTTTAACCACAAATCCCAGCATGCCTCTGCCGCTGGGAGTTATGCCTGTAACTGCCAGTCTTGCAATGCCTCAATGGACTTGTAGTTCTACAAAAGCTGGAGGGCTGGAGTTTCCCACCTGTGGTCTAGAGGAAGGGAAAAAGCTGTTTTGCTTAGCTGATTCTCGCTTCCGTCAGCTCCCTCCGGTCTGCTAGAGCAGTCCCCACAGCCTCTTCTCCCGTGGGCTGTGGCAGTCTAAGGACCACAGGTGTCACCATTTCTACTGCAAGCTCTTGTAGATGTGAGAATGAGAAGGAAAAGGGACATTCCACCA